TTTGGCTAAAAACTCAAACAACTGTTTGTATAAATCCTTGTAGATTAGCATATGCTGGAATGAAAAGACAGCTACACACTCACGCACAAACACACGGACAGATAGACAAGCGTACAGAATGAAAACTAACATGTAAACGGCTAGTATTCACTGGAAAATTTCATCAGTACAGACAGCTGTTATACACATTCAATTGAGGAAGATAAGATTGAATAAACAAGGAGTAGAGATTGATTGAAAAATAAAATGACTGTTTTTATCCACTTGAGGTTAATACAATCTGCGAAAGGACTGTAATTATTATTATTATTATATTATTGTTTCCTTTAGCTCCTAGAGGAATATAAGACTTCAGCCGAACGTCTCCAATGAGTTCGGTTCTCCGCCAACGTTTTCACCTCCTCTTCACATCACCTCCTCCTCCACGTCACCCCCGCATGGACAACCAGCTTACCGCTTCCCATTCGCTTTCCACTCGAGTGATGACCTGCACTGTGGGTGATGTCACTTGATGGTTTGTTTTTCAGAGTATGGCCAACCCACCACACTTCGCTCCCTGCATATTTCTTGCACTATTGCTTCTTGTTGGGTTGGTTCTCTCATTGCCAGAGATCCCTCACTATTGCTGATTGTTTCTGGCCAGCCATCTGATGTTGAGTACTATTGGGTGAAGACAGCTGCTGTTGATGGAGGTCTGTAGTTTGTTCGAGGTGGCCTTCGTGACGCGGCGCGGCGCAGCGCCAAGTCCCTGACCCGTATAGTGTCACTGACTTCACACTGAAGTTGAAAATCCGCATCTTATTTTCATTTTCATTCTGAGTGCTGTTGATCTCCACACAGACTTGAGAGTTATGAAAGCTGGCCTTGTTTTCTCGATCCTCTCTTTGATATCCTCATCAATTCCGTTCGCCTGTATTTGAAACGACGAGACTTCCCAGAAAGGCATTTGAAGTGGAGACAGGAGTAAGACGAGGAGCCCTATTACCATTTACGATGATATCCCTAGGGACATCTTATTAAATAAACTTGCTGCAAGTCAAACAGAATGTTGGGCTGTTAACTGGTTACATTCTTATTTCTCAGAAAGAAAGCAGTACATCGTGTATAAAGTGAAGTCTTCCACATCAATGCCTACTGAAGCTGGTGTCTCTCAAGGCGCTATCCTTTCTCCTTTTCTTTTTTCTTTCTTCTTACATGATTTACCTCAGTCTGATGAAATAAACTTTGTGAAGTACGCTGATGATCTAACAGTTTCAATGGCTGTTAACTCCCAGCTAGATTGTTCCAAAATAAATAGCTTTCTGTCGGAAGTCAGTAAATGGTCTGAGTCTAACGGTCTTAAACTGAATCCTTCTAAATATCAAACTGTTAATTTCAGCTTAAGATGTAAACGACAGTTAAAAGAAGCCGTCGATTCTCATGACAGTTGTAAGATTGATGACAATGATATAGGAATTAAATCAGAAATTTAGTATCTTGGACTTATTCTCTCTTCTGATCTCTCCTGGTCTTCCCATGTCTCAGCGATCTCCAGTAAAATATTCCGCCTGACATTTGGCACTCGGGTATAACTAAACCCCTCCTCTTACAGTTCATAAACTCTTGCATCCTACATATTCTTCTTTATTGTTCATCCTTATTCTTTCCTGGTTTGCTTAAAAAGGACTATGTCACAATTCGTAGAATGCTGAAGACTGTCAGTAGGATGAGTGGTGTCTCAGTAGACTACATAGTTAACGTCGTTGTCGATAGGCACTTGACTTCGTGCAATAAATTTGCTAAAGGGATTTTGTCTGACATGGAGCATCCACCACAGCACCCTCAGCTTTCACCTTTCATCTCCTCAGGTGAAACAAGAAGTAACTTCATAAAACTGTATGCTCTCACGTCTAAGTATAAAAATTATATGATACTTGTCACGTATTTTATGTGATGAAAATAGCGTCAGGCAAAAATTGACTAACCTTTTTTCATCTAGTAAATAAACAATCTCCTCCATCCATCCTTAAATACTTTTATTATTTCTATTATATTTATGGTCCTGTTGCTTCTTTGTTTTCACTTTCATAACTGCAAACACCAACTTATGTCTATGACTGCTGTAATCTTTGTTTTTACCCTCACCATATCATGTAAAGAGAACATCATATTCTGTATTTTTAATCATGCAAGGATTTTTATACCGCATCGACAATACTGTGTGAAACAAACCCACTGCAATTTCCACTTGTATTAACTAATCGACCACCACCACCAACAACAACAGGCACCAGTCACTCTCACCCGGATAAATTTGAAAGAGATCACTTCTTCCACTTATCTAGGCATCATTCTTTCAACCATAGGCAGGCCGGAATCGGAAGGTCAGGGTACGCCTTCATCACTCTCGAGTCAGTTTAGAAATCTTCTGCACTCAGCGCTAAGAATACACCAGTGTTAAGTCAGTCAATTCTCCTAAGGGAGTCAGAAACGTGGCCAGTACGTCACGGAAAGCATTTCCAACAGGCTGCATATTTTATCGATAATTGCCTTCGCTGCTTCCATACTGAAGGTCAGATGGCCATCCTGAAATGATTGGTAACAAGAAAGTCTCGGAAAGAACCTATTACTAAACAAATATTTGAAAGAAAATGGAGATCGACTGCACAAACTCTGAGGAGACTTAAATTGTGGTGAAAGCCGTCTGCAAGCCAAAATTGTAGACATCAGTTGACGTCAGTGTTCACGTCCCGAATCGGGGTCAAGAGAAAAAAACAATAACAAAGCTTAACCTTGAGAAAATCACCAGCCAATCACGATGGAGTTAAAGTGTGGAAATATAATTCACAGATATATAGCTTAACTTTCTGAGAAGCTGTCACAAGCCATACAGAATGGCCTTCAGTAAGAAAACAACTAATCAGAAGAAGGTGCCCCTCCGCTAACAATGATATTCATAAGAATCTTTAAATATTCTTGATTTTCTCAATAAACGATCTGTTGCCTAGCCCTTATCTTCTGTCATTACAAAATGACGTCTCGCACCAGGCCATCGTTCTAGTGGAACCAGAATGGGGAACGACGAGCTGAGCTGTAGTCCAAGGGTAACATGGAGGTGACCGAGTGAGGATCTGGTGAGGGATTATGTTTAACCGTGAGTTCAGCTGAATAGGAGTGCAGAAAATAAAACAAAGTGAACAACAAAGTGTTCAACTGCGAGATCATATCCTTCAGGTCACTGAATAGTAATTTTCCACTAGAAAACGCTTCATGACCATATATACGACGAATGTGTGTGGCAAGCGATAGAATCAGGCTTTGTTTTTAACCATTTGGCATCCAGCTATAGTGACCATTCCATGACAGCTTTTTTAAATTGATATTTTCAGAGAATTGTCAGTCATTCTTGATAAGTTCATATAGAGAAAATGAATGATAGAATTGCCCTTGATTTCTCGGGGTGAGTTTCACCGCTGAATGGAAGCCATTAAATGCATATATATTATTAAATCATAATCACTATCAAGAATAATAAAGGCGTCTTCTACATACCTTTCGTATAGTCGAAAACTTTGAATTGTTGACTTCAACTGACCATTTTCTAGACTGGTAATTAAACAATCTGCAAGAAGAGAACCTAACGGAGGTCCTATGGCAATACCATCCCATTATCTGGATAGACGGTAGTCTTCAAAAGTCAATTTATCGAAAGTCCACATAAAAAGGACAATACTTACATTTTAATAGCTTTTGTCCAAATAGCTTTAAACGCGGTCTAGTAAAGACTCTGTACTATAGAGCGAGGAGAATATGCTCTATAGAGAAATTAGAGGAAGAATTTGAGTTTATTGAAAAGACATTGAAGAGTGATGCGTACCCTCAAACGTTCATCAACAAGTATGGAAGATCTAAAGTTACAAATGTAAAACAAATCACAGTAGGAAAAAAGCCAATCTACTTTCAGCTTGATTATAAAGGTGAAAACATTTCAGCGATGATCAACAGAAGGCTGAGCACATCACTAGCCATAGCCTATCCTGCAGCTAAACTCGTTCCCGTCTATCGAACAACTTGCTCTTTGATGCAGTCAAAAGTCGATGGATATCCTTCTCATGTTAACTCCAACTGTATATACAAATTTACATGTATCTGCGGGAGCAGTTACATTGGAAGAACAGAAAGAAGGGCATATCTACGATTTTCTGAACATGTACCAAAAAGCTTATGTCTAAAGGGAACAAATGCTTTAAACAGTGCCATCGCCAGGCATCTCCTCGACATGGGTCATGGGGTGGATGTCGAAAAGTCGTTCAAAATTATCAATAAGCAAAAGAGTTCAATTCTCCTTAAGTTTGCTGAAGCCATTTCCATCAAGCGCCTGAAACCTGATTTGTGCGTTCAGAAAGAAGCGGTTATCAGTCTTTCTTTGTCCTGGTAACTGGATATTTTCCATCCGAATGCGAGATGCTAAAAAGTTTTCATTGTGTATGATTATTATTGTTCAGAATAGTGTTTAATATTTTATATACATATATATATATATTATCAATGTATACATATATTGATCGATTGATTTCTGTTTAAAATGAACTCTGTGCAAGTATGTTAAAATTGTTTTTGTAGATACATTTAATAATGTCTTTGCCCTGTAAGCAGCTGATGAGAAGGCAACGAAATAAAAGATGGTACCATTTTATTCTACTAAAACTGTAGTTCTTGCTTTGTTCAAATATCTGGATATTGTTTAATTGTAATTAAACTATGCATTGAGTGTTTATCTCAAAAGGATAACTCACGATCAGGTATCTGAAAATGCACTAAATGTTTCAGTATTTTTGACAGTTATAGGAATGAACAAGGATGTATAAGTAGTATTCGTGTAGAAGATTTTCCACTAACATTTTCGCTAAACTTCTGTTCTTTTTCCTTCTTTGTCCTTGCATCGGCCTCCCACACCCCTCCCGCCTGCCGTCCCCATCATGAAAACAAACGTCTATCTATCCTTCACTAACATAAATCAGACGTGATGCTATGAATAATCAACATCAACAGAGAACAATAAAAAATGTTGGCTATCGATTGGGCAAACGAAAACGTCTCTTTGAGAAACGCTGTCGAATATCTGATTTTTCACTAAGTTTCGCTGTATTCGGTATATTGGTTATGCTGATTGAAACAGAGTTTACATTTGCTGGAGTATATGAAAAGGTTAGTTGATTCATAATGTACATATAATTTCATGCTTTTTTCATCGATTTATTGATTTAAACTAATTATTATTAATGAAAACGAAACACGTAGATCAGCGAAGAGTCTCTTTTCGGCGAATTCATCTTCTTAGCTGTACAATCGCAAATATATATGCATTGTTTTGTATGTATGTGTACATTAAGTTTGTCAAACAAAGTTACAATTTTAACTAAACAAGTGAAGGTTGTTAATACAGGTCAAGAAAATTAAGTGTTAGTGAAACTAGGGTAGTAACAAAGGTGATGAGTTGTCACAAACAGCTGTAATAACAATAGTGAGTTTTACTCAGGATGCACATAGAAACAAAGTAGAAATTATGTAAGAGATCTAAGTGGATACAAGAACTACAATTGCTTAAGGTTATTTTAACTAAACAGGTAAAGGTTGGTAATATAAGTCAAGACAATTAAGTGCTAGGATAGTAACAAAGGTGATGAGTTGTCACAAACAGTTGTTAAAAGAAGTTATGCAATAATAATATGAATGAGTGAGTTTTACTCAGGATGCACATAGAAACAAAGTAGATAATGCGAAGCTATGTAAGAGATCCAAGTGAATACCAGAATTATAAGCAACTAAGGAACAGGCAAAGAAACAAAATTAAGTTATCAAAATAAAATAAAAATAAAAAACTCAAAAAATCAAAACATTGTTGCCATGAGAGTAGAAGTGGTTGAGTAATCTTCTTTTGTATGCACAGCTCCGGTTTTTCCATGTGAATGGCTAGAGCTTCAGCGATACAAAGGAGGCGAAACCGTATTGCCTTTGACATGTTGTTCTTGACTCGGTAGATTACTTTGAAGGAGGCGTTCGTTGAAATGCAATGATCAGTGCTGACCAGGTGTTCAATTATCGCACTCCTTATTGCACCAGTATTGCCTTTTCGCAACCATGCTGGATAGTGTTCCTGAATCCTCTTGGACAGAGTGCGCGTCGAACGACCGATTATTATTATTATACCCTTGGGTTCCAAGTGGAACACTGTGCTACAACAAAACATCTCCACTTTGTCCTGTCCTTCTCTGCATCTTGTCCTAGTCGGCTGGATCATTGGGTTGCTCGTAAGCTTCCGTCTTATTCTTCACCTTCGTACATGTATTCATCTCGTTGTTTCTCACTTGAATGTTTGTTCTACGATGTCACTCAACGGTCTCTTTATTCTTATTGTCTGATCCACCATCATTTTCTCTGGAATACTAGTTGAGCATTTGGTTCTTGATTGGTTAATTCCGAGAATTTTCTATTGTTAATTCCTCTTAGTTGACTGACTGATCTTCAGTAGGGAGGCAGAGAAAGCAGTTGTTGATTAAAGTCTAAAATGACCTGTTGGAGGTGCTTTTTTGACATACACACACACGCACGCCAAGTTTCTGACCCATTTATTGTGATCGCAGCGCAGATTTCCAAACAGATTTCATCATCTGTTTGGCCTTTCTGATTCTGGTTGACTGTGACATCCTCAACGGTGTGTGCCTGTTGTTGAAACTACAGTGCCTAGATAAGTGATGGAAGTGGCCTCTTTAAAATTTCCCCCCATTGATAGTGACTGGTACTTGTTGGTATTGTTGGTTGTTTATCTTCATTATCCCAGTCTTCTCTGCATATTCATTGAGTGCTTACGCTAAGAGGAAATCTCACCAATGCAATCCACACTACTTTTGTGTGATATAAGTAGTAGCACCTATTCCCACCAGTTGTACAGCTTAGTCAGATTAAGGTGACCTGGACGCTGATCAGTTGTTCGAGTTAACCACAATAAAAGTTTTATCATCATTTAATTCCTTTCTGTGAATTTGCAGGCAGTTTAATAAGTGTGAACAGCATTTACTCACCGTATTTCCCCTGAGACTCGAGACACCTTAGACTATTGTGTCACGCATAAAGAACTTGTAGCAAAATTCTACATGTAACTAACTGACAGATAGGAATATCAGGAAGATACTGTCATTTCAACGAATACATTCTCTCGGAGATATACAATTGTGGAAAATTAAGTCAACAGAAACTGAGATCTATACTACCGCAAGGACTGGAATGCGTTGGTGGCACAGCGATAAGAACGCTCATCGGCCATGCACATGGTCCGGGATTCGATCCCCTGACGACGCACACCTGATATCAATGGTTGGCCGAAATGATCAGTTATGAAGTTCGTTAGCTCAACTACAAGTGTATTAACGGTCATTTCATTGCTCATCCCATTGCTCTATTTAGTAAGCAGTACTGTTGTCGGACTATTCATTTCAATTTATTCCGCAAAAACTTGCAGTGACGTTTCCCTTCGATTTGTGTAAACGACGAATTGAATATACTCCAATTAGATTGTTTTGTTTTATATTCACTTTTCGTTAGACAGTGAAACAAACCAATAATGCAAAGATTATCTTTCGAAGGCTGCCATTCAGTGTATCATTGCATCATCGTTGAATAGAGACTGGAATGGCAGTCACCACTCTACCTCAACTTCATCGACTTTAGAAAGGCCTTTGGCAGACAGCGTCGATCGTAAGGTGATTTGGCAACTACTTCGCTACTATGGAATGCCGCCAACAATTAGACATCACATCGAACAGTTGTACGACACTGCTGTATGCCAAGTAATCCACAACGAGAAATTCACGAAGTCCTTCGAAGTGAAGACAAATAAGACAAGGCTGTCCACTATCTTCAAGGCTTTTCCTGGTTGCGGTAGACTGGATATTGAGACAGACAGAGGCGAGTAAGCGAGAAAACAGGCATAAAATGAACACACATAAAAACTTAGAGGATCTGTACTTCGCAAACGTGATGTATGTCTGATTTCCCTTAAACTGGAAGATTTCAAAGTGAAGAGCAACAAGTTGGCAGAGGTATCAAAGATAGGACTTCAGGTGGACATTGAGAAAACAGAGGTGATGAAGATTCCTGGCCAACAGCAACAACAACAATAGACAACAACCAGGATAAATGGGGGAAATCTGAAAGAAGTAACCTCCTTTACCTACCTGTCTGGGAAGTGTCGTTTCAACTACAGGCGGATGGAACTGATGAGGATATAAAAGCAAGGATCATTTGTCTCAAGTTTTTGTGGAGATCAACAGCAATCAGCATAGAAAATAAGATCCTGATTTCAACTTCAATGTGGAGTCAGTTCCACTACACCGATCAGAGACTTGAAGCCACGTCACGAAGGGCACTTCGAACACTTCACTCAATATCAGATGGCCGGCCAGAAACGATCAGTAACAGGGAGTGATCTCTGGCAATGAGCAAACCAACCCAGCAGAAACCGATTGTGCCGCAACAAATCTGCAGGAAGAAATGAAGGTGGATTGGCTGGCCATACTCTGAGAAAACAAACCATCAAGTGACATGGCACGCAGTGCAGGCCATTACTCGAGGGGAAGGCGAATGGGAAGTGGCAATTTGTTGGTCAGCGTGTGGGTGACATTGAGGAGGAGTTGATGTGAAGAGGAGATGAAAGCATATGGTAAGATGTGGAGCTAGTTGACGATAATGTTGTCAGAGAACCGAAGGCAGTGGAGACGTGCGGCTGAAGTCCTATGTTCCTCCAGGAATTAAAGGACAACAAGAATAATAAACTGTTATTAATAAACTACACCACCACCAACAACAACAACTAACACTACTAACGCTACCTTGTAGATCACCAACAGCATCGCAGGCCTTCAAACATTTTCCCATGCATCCAACTTCAAAGACTTGCATCCACAGTATCCTCACTACTGATAGAGATATCGATGTCAGTAAAAAAAAACAGGTGACTAATTGCAACAGAACATTGATGCGTTGCTGGGACAAAACACCATGGACATCGTGAGCAGCATAAACCTTACATTGATCACTATATTTGAAATCAATGTCAGCCATTCTCTATTACATATACCTCTGATCCTATAGTCTGTTGCTCATCAGTTTATTCTATTAGTGGTAACCTTCTTCGTGTTATTCAGTTGGTTTTCCTAAAGGCGAATAACTGTTAAAGCTTCTATGAAGACATTACTGGTTATATTACTCTTTTCTGCTAATAAGTAGTACACTACTCACGTTAATATGACTGCTGCTGTAACTATGTGATGATTATGATGTTGATGATGAACTGCTTTGATAACAACTCTTCTCTCCCTCTCTGTCTCTCAGTTAAGCGTTTATGTTCCTTTGTACTGAAACATAAAATCGACTATCTAAAACCCGGATATCCTGTAAACAATGTTTCTATCAAAAATATTTAAAAAATGTAGGTGGGTTACCTGTATATCCTGTTCTCTGCTATTTTTAACTATCAGTTAAATCAAGACAAGAGAAAAGGGGATACAATCACTTTGAAGTTTCTTTTAGTGCTTCTTCTTTATCTAATTCCTCTTCTTCTTCTTCTCCTTTTGGTTCTACTTTACTTTCCTGTTCCATAAACTAATATGTACGCATATGAATGTAGGCTGAATAACTTCCTGTCAATAAGTTTTCTTTTCAATTTCTCCTGTTATCATTTAAGAGGTATACTTTTTCATTAGACAAGAGGAAGAGATTCGATTTCAAAGAGGCTTTCCATTGGGATTGAACTTCAACTGACAGACTGTTTCGTTATTAACTAAGGTCTCACTGTGGTGGAATCATCGGATAGCAGTCCTTGTGGGGGTTTTCCTAACATCTTTGAGTTGATTCTTTCACTTATAAAATACTATTGAAACAGCAGTCAACTTTTGTTTATTTTGTTGCCAGTGGAGTGTGTGATGTGTTGTTGAAGGTCTGTGTTCCACTCAGAACCCAATGGAGAAATTATAAAAATAACAAGACACATTTTTCGCATACCCGTAAACCGTCTTACTTAGTGACTAGTGTTAGCCGACATTGAATGAGGTTGGAAAAGGAGTAAGGGGTGGTCTAACAAAAACATGAAAAAAATCCATGGGGGCTCTCACAGTTGGTTGTAGACACGTATTGAGATGTACACTGTCTGG